TTTACTTGGTATTAGTAAATGTGGCTGAAAGACCAATTTAGGTCTTTCAGCCTTTTGGTAGATAACTCCCTAATACCGTGGAAATTAGGGAGTTATCTACTAAGCGGCTGCAAGATAAGTCCCGAAGTGCTTAAGTGCCGAAGTTCCGTAGTTGCCAAAGTTCCAAAGTGTCGAAGTGCCGAAGTTCCGTAGTACCGAACCGAAGTGACAAAGTTCTGAATTGCCGAAGTCCCGAATTTCGGAATGCCGAACCGAAAATTTTCCCCATGCACATCCCTATTCACCGCCAAAACTATTATAAATTACAGAAATAGATAGAAAGAATACTACACAGTTGACAAAATAACTTCTGTAACTGAGCTCCCTGTACCCCTGGCTGGGTACTTCCGCCAAGGACCACTTCCTAGCTGGAACAGGGGACAAACCGCAGCACTTCTGCCCACAGTCGCCCATAGTCAGTGTGCAGGAGGCCAGCTTCCACACTCCTCCAGGAGTCCATGGCAAACGTCTGTGAACTGTTGTGATTTTCAAATGTACCTTATACCTCTCCTCCCCCCCCTTTTTTTTATTCTGCACCCCATCCCAGCCTTGAAATGACAATAAACTTTAAGTTGAATAAAAAGAGTGACTTGTAGCATTTTAAGAGTTCTTTTTAGAACTGTAAGAAGCGACAACTGTAACACCAGAAAGGAGTGTCTTTTTTTGGACACTCACTGAATATTATTTTATGTCCATTTTTTCTTTCAATAAATCTATAATTAAATCCATTTTGACACTATGTTTGGTTTTCGTGTTGGGGGTACGTGTTTTTGTACTGTTAAGGGTATCACACGTTGAGAAAAAGGATTGTATAACAAAAATGTTTGTGTTTTAGTGTGTGTCTTTCAGTAAAACATACAGCACTTAGGTGTATTGCAATATTGTTGTTGGGCTCATTCCATTTATTTTTGATGATTTATAGTATATGTAAAAAAGCACTGCTAAGATTACGTGAGTGAGTTTTTTGCTAACTTTTAACAGCATTTTCATTCTTTTCCCCAGCTTCGGCAAGTGCACACTATACACCAACCATTTGCAATGGAGGGGAAGTTCTCGATTCTACAACATCGTCCTTATAATTGTGATCAGCATTTCTGTCCTCCAGGTTTCTAGACTGTTAGATTATATGCACTTGTTGTGCAGTTATGTACTTTTTTTTTTTCTTTTTTTTAAGAAAATAAATATTTTTAAGGACTGTAATCAATGATGTTCTAGAGATTTTTAGACTGGTATTATGACCACTGTTATTCACACATATAGAGAAAGTGTAGATATGGTGCGTTCTCTACACAATTTACTGTGTCCACTTAAACAGTGATAAATTAATTTATGGCATTTGCCATTTCAGTATAAAGGTTGCTTACTTTCCTATGATGTTTTTGTAACCTAGGTTATTGTTGTAACCAATTTTAGAATGCATTTCAGTTACAGTAAGTGTAACTGGTTGTTATTGCACAAAGAGCAGCAGTATTAATGTAAAGATGCCAGTAGAAAAACCTTTTCATTGAGGTTTCCAGCATGTTTCTTCTTGGTAATTTTAATTGGTATATGTTGCACTGATATAGGAGTTTACAGAGAGAGAATAAACTGAATGAATGTTTGCTTATAGCTCTGTCCTATGAATGGAAATTGAACACAAAATACTAACAGTATTACTGTAGTCAACCAATCCATTTACATTTCATGATAACACTGTTATTCCTGTAGGACCGTTCTGAAAATGAACTCAAAAACCAATGCTCAATGATATCCATTGTTCTCCCACAATCATTGGAACTCTACTGTTCACTGCAACTCTATGGCAATCTTCTATCAAAAACTTCTTCCTAGTCTATCCAAGGACAAAGTAATTAGCACCAATCTTCATCTCAATTGAAAATGCAATGTTCTAGTCTAAGGCTACGGGAAGCAATATATGTTGTAATGAAATTACATTATTATATTCAGCATCATTGCCAAAACCATGATACTTTTTATAGCGCAACTAGTTTCACTAAAGACTAGTATGTGTGATGAAGGATATTAAAGTCATGTATGGTATTGGCCATCTACCTACGATGGACAGAGACGTTTACTTTTCAAGAATTTGTACTTCAATACTTGATACTGAAAAATTTCCACGAAAAATTTAGTGAACTAATTTGCCCTAAATTTATGAGGAATTTATATTGTGTGCTGTTGGTAGGAAAAAAAAATACAAATAACAAAGTTTGGGGGGTTGTTTTTTTAGGATTTTTTTTTTTTTGCTAATCAATGCTACCCAAGAAATTATAAAATTAAAATAACAATTACATTTACAACTCATAAAAAAAACTTTGGAAAAAGCTTCCTTTCCGTGAGTTTCATTAGACTTGAGTTAGAGTTAAAAATACCTTGCTAAAATCTCTGTAATACAAAAAAGAATTAAAAATAAAATGAGCACACAGCAGAAATTGACAAACACTAAAACAAACATCCACGATTGTTAGTTACTCAAACAGATACTGCAAACAAGAAAAGAACAAAAAAAAAGAAAGCACAGATTTAACCAAGGGCTCATTACTAATATTGTTGGTAAGCTTTAATGATCAGTCACAAATCGTTAAAGTGACTGTCTCTAACTTAAGTGAGCAGCGGTTGTTTCAAAACTCCCAAAACGCACCATTAACAACTCTGAATTTTACAGAGCCATTAACTACTACTTACCAATTCATTTTCAAGCTTCTAGCTACATTTTATCTGCTGATGTTGTCTCCTCAAATTTAAACCCTGTAAACCAGGTAAAAATAAACAACATCAAGTTAAAAACTAACTTACTATGCTACTTGTTAAGTGTATGGCATTACCTTATACACAAAAGCACATATTAAACCATGTCAAACAGCAATAGCATGGGGGGGAGGAGGGGAGGACAGGCTCCAGTAAAAAAATGCAATTATTCTTTTATGCGACATGTCATTCAAATTGACAATTCATACTAATTTGATTGAAAGCCCGTCTGTATTTTATGAATGCTAATAACTACTTTAAACGAGCAATAAGATAGGGAAATAACTATATTATTATGTTACATCATATTGTATTATTAAGTGCTTCTCTACATATTTTAGAAGTTTCTGCTGTTTTTTTAAAAAAACACAGATGCAATCAACATTTTTTACAGGACAGCTGGTTAAAAAGTGCTGTCTACATGATATTGCTACATGTATACAATTTGTCCATGTATACAGATTCTGAGTGATATTATGGAAATCAAGCCAGCTTGAAATGTTATTATCTGTAATTAAAATAACACAAATAGAGATTAAATATTACATTTTAAATTAAATCGATCAGAATGCTAAGGAGAAAAAAAATGTTTGAGCTCACTGCCATCATTTATATTTATTTGAATTTTAGATGTTTAAAAGAAATATATACTCAAGATAATTTGAACCGATATTGAATTTTAAAAGTTAAAATAAAATAAATGACATATTACAATAAATTCTCAATCATTGCAAGTATTTTATAAGCTAAAGTACATATAAAACACCAATTAGAATAATGTCTACATAACTTTACAATTTATTTCTTGTTACAACCAGGCATATTTATTTTCCAGTGGATAATGTGAGAGTCAAAGCAGAAACAAAACAGTTATCATATTAAACCCAAGATGAATTAAATCTCTGAGAGGACTAGATTAATTAAACCATATAAAAACATAATCTCTGTTTAAGTAATACCAAATTACAATGTTACATCGGTGTGATAAGAAGCTTGTGAGTTACATATCCAATGGATCCCCCCAATTAACCTGATTGAGGTGGGTCCTAAGTGCCACAATTGTAGAAATGACTCCAACCGTGGGTAAAAGCAAATTAGCAACTTTCTATACACGTCAAAACTGTGTCTACATTGGCAACAATATAAGGGAGATGTTTAATTGTTACCAGCAGTCACTTTATAAGACTTGTCCATTTTATACACAGACACAGGGAGACCCCTAGGGGAATTAGTCCCTAATTTAACTCCATTGAAAGACTCAAAGAGTGGTTACAAACAGAGAATGGAATATATCCATACCCCAAATTCCTTGTATAATTTACACACAGTAATAATAACAATCCACAATATTGACACTAAAGCTGAACTTAAAAAAAAGCCAACCTCTAAATATTGTTTATGGGTGTTACTCCATTAAGGAAAGGTATGCTCCCTCTGCTATAATTCACAATGGATGATGGTTAACAGTCCTCATAGACCGATATGCTAATTACCTCAAAGAGGAAAAAGCACACTTGTCTCTCCTTTACATACACTAGTCTAAACCTGCCTGCCTACCCACATTTGCCTATGAAATCAGATAGGACAGGCCGCAGAGCTAAATGTAAATACCTTGAGGTTTGAAGGACTAGGCTAACACTGCCTACCAAATTATCCTGCCTATCATAAAAAGCTTGGTCTATATTCCAAGTGTATATCGAGTGGTATACAGCAGCCTATGAAATCAGATAGGACTGGCAACCGGATTACAAATAAATATCTCAAGGAGTGAGGTCTAAACCAGCACTCCCTTAGATATTCCTCACCTGCGATTCTTATGTGTAAAATATAAATGACAAAACTTCACCAATATTGTAAGAGTTGTGATTTAAAGTAAAATAATACCCCTATTATACCATGTTTTGTGAAACTTCTTCTACCTTGGATTTTTTATGTAATAAAGTCTTTATAACCTACCAGGAGTAAAAATAGCTGCAATTTACAACCTGCTTATCGAGAGTAGAACTTCTCAATGTTGAAACAGTATATTGCTTCCCTGCCAAACCTTTTTAAAGCACAATCTATACCAATAATGAACAAACTGTTAAGGAAGGAATCAGTTAGGTTAAAAGCACAAGCTTAGCGTGTAGATTGGTTGATACATATATATATATATATATATATATATATATATAGGTATTATACAATTAGCTTACTGTGCTTTTTATAAATTACACACTTTAAATATGCTAAAGAGCTAAAATCATTTATTGAAAACTTTCTACAGAATAAAAATTGTATACTTGATGACCAATGTTAATATATATTCAGATAATGTTTAAGTCTGCATTCTGTTGCCTCTGAAAATGTCAGTTTTTTTTCTGTAATTGCAAACCGTGACAACAACAAAAACACAAAAAAATTTAATTAAAACAATATCCACATGAAATAAAATTTGGACAATCTTAATTAAAGGAAGGTTGCATAACTGGCTTGATCAAGGTATATTATGACTTGGTGTAAAAAATTACGTGCATTTCTTGGTATTTTCCTATGACGTCTGTGCTCAGTATCTCGGCTGTTACTAAACTATAGTTCCCATACAGCTGGCTGAGCATCACGGGAAATGTAGTTCAGAAATGTATTGCATTCCAAGGTTTGCCATCAGTGGTAAATTCTATTGTATTTCAATGCTTCAAGGTATGTTACCGTCCAATAAACTCTGCATGACAAAGAAAGGGGAAAAAAAGTCAACTTCGGTTGCTGTCGTGTTACAGGAAGTATTAATACTTTATTGTGGTGCCAGTACTGTACTTGCACAAAGTATTTTGTAGCAGACATCTGGAGATATATAATACATTTTCTGATAAGCATGTTGGGAGTTATGAAGAGCAGTGCTGCTTGTCATGTAAAAAAATCAGAATGTTCATTCAATCTTCCAATAAATATTTTTATGTTTGAATAAATTATTTCTTACATTTATTCCGAGTGTTCTTAAAGCTATGTGTATTTCAGATTGTTATTAGTGGTGAAACACAATTAAATATTAATATTCTGAATTACTATACATTCTGAATCACAATATTGTATAAAATAATGATCAATGAACATTTCTTTATAATTACTGTCAGTATAAAAAGCAACAACTGCTTACTTCTTCCCAAACAGTCCGTAGTTCTGTGGGTCCAAATATAATAAACGATGACAACAGGGAGGGAATGAAATATTGCCAAGGATAATTAGCCAGAAAAGAAAAATATAGAATGAATAAAGACGTATTCTATATTCCTTGCCAATTCTTTCTGTTATCATAAAACAGTAATCAAAAGGAATTGCCCTGCATAAATGTAATAAGAAAGAGATTAAATAGAAATGTGTTATGTGTAAATGTATACATAAATTATTTTACGATAAGACAGAAGGTATAATAGAAGCTGAGCAACTTAGAGTAGTGATAGATGCTGTTTCTCCAAAAGACCACTTATAGTTCTAATCTTTATGATGTTTGTTAAAGCAGTCAAAGTGCCTTCCTATTAGTTTACTCCATGATATGCTGTAGGTGCGGGTTTGTCAACTAAAAAGATGAGCAAGTAGCAGCTTCTCAAACATTAAAGGAACACTATAGCCAACAGAACGACTACAGCTTAATGTAGCGGTTCTGTTTTTTTAGTATGTCCCTGCAGTGTTAGTACTGTAAACATTCGAAGAAAAGGCAGTGTTTACATTGCTGCCTAGGAACACCTCCTGTGTCATTCTCTCAGACGGCCACTAGAGGTGCTTCCTAGTCCAGTGCTGCACAGTGTGAAGCATCTACGTTCACCGTCTCCACGCTCTGCAAGTTGCCCCTAGAGATGAATTGATTCAATGCATCTCCATGAGGAGATGGTGAATGGCACTGTGCTGCATTTTGCCACACATGTACAATAGCCTCCCAAAGTTTTCTTATGGGAAAGCATTGGATTGGCTGAAACCATCAAAATCAATGATCTCAGTCATGAGGGCGTGGCCAGCCAAGGAGAGATCGGCACAATGTGGGAAAAAAGTTGAGTAAAAACACCTATTCTAAGCAATCTAAGGGGAGCCGGGGACCTAAATAGTTAACACTTTAGTGTCAGGAATACTTGAAAACTAATAAAATAATAATGCTTTGGTTCCATCCCATACCCCACCTATGACTGGTGGGTGGGGGGTTAGAAATCACTGAGTAGCTGCCAACTGGTCTGTACCTACCTAAAGTGGTGGGATGCGGGATGACAAATAAGTAATAAAATAGTAAAAACAAATAAGCAGTATCTCTCTTGGATCCCGGTATCATCTTTCACCCATGCTCAGACAGAAAAGGGTAAAAAAAATATGCAACTCACTACCCAGTGACTAATAACTCCATTCCCTTAGTGGTGCAGTGAGGGTTCTAACATAATAAAATTGAAAACATAGAAATGGTCCCTCCCTCCATACACCTGTGGACAGCAGATAGGGTCTAGCAAAAAAAACTCCCCTCTGGTAGTTCAAGGGGATGTCCAGATCCCCTGCCGGCCCTTATGCCCACAGATATATGTGGGCACGGGGAGGTTTATTAAGTAACTTTAAATGGGTAAACCAAATGGTACATTTCTGTAGTTGTAATATAACCACAGCCCTTATAATGTTCAGTCACTATTAAGGAATGAACATATGAGGTAGGGTAGTAAAGGCTTTATGGAGCCAAAATGTTATCTTTGATTTGGGATGAAGACCTTTCCACAGTGCAAAGTGTATAGTCTTGATTCTTGGATTTATATGATAGTCATATATGTTGCATTCCTAAAAATTACCATATTTATACAGGTATTTCAGCCCAACAATTAAACCCATGTCTTTACACATTCTCGTTAGTATTTTCATTTAATGTCTAATTTCATAGTGTGACTAAAGTCCTGTTGTTTATTAAAGAAGGGACAAAGTAGCTATGGGAAAGGTGAGAGAACCCATAAAAATGTCGGTATCACTTCTGCTTACTTCTATCATGCTCTAGGCCAGGGGTCCTCAAACTGTGGCTCTCCAGATGTTGCTGAACTACAACTCTTCTTTGAATTACATAGATTCTTTGAATTACATAGATAGCCAGAGAATCATGGGAGTTGTAGTTCAGCAACATCTGGGGGGCCGGAGTTTGAGGACCCCTGCTCTAGGCAAATTACATTTAAAGGGGACAGTATGTGATACTGCTTAACCCACAATGCTTCCAGAGAAAAAAATACTCACTTAGATGCCATTCCAAGCGCAAGTATGTGTGGCTATATAATTCTTAATTTGATATCAGTATAAAAAATATATTTTCTTTCTCTTGAAAACTACAATAATAATAACCATAATAATAATAAATCATTCAGAGAGAGAGAGATGAAAACGTGTCAGAAATGCAAATGAATCAGATGGAAAGTAATTTCTGTTATATTTTTTAAAGTGGATGAGAAGGGACCTAGTTATGACACTAGGAGAAATAGCACTAATTATGCCCATAAAATCATGCAATATTAAATATTACCAAATTAAAATTACATTTAGATGTTACATTCATGCCTCTTATTAATAGGCTTTGCCTGTGAAAAAAAAACAAGTTAAGTTAATTAGAAATACTTAATACCTCATTCTATGCAATTCCACATTTAATTATTTAAGAGAAAAGACTAACATTGAGACGTAAACTGCATAAAAGGATAAGTGCTGCCTCCTAGTGGTCATAATAGAAATCTCCTTACTTGGGTAGGATAAAATGAACACATTTATAGATTTAGTAAACTTGGTGAAAACTGCAATTAAATGAAATTTTAAACAGAGATTTATTACCACAGTAATCAATTTCACTTCTTCATTCTTTATATGAGCACAACTGTGACCAGCCTTGATTTACATATAAATTAATATTTTCACAATTTATAGCAATTATATTTAATAGGAAACATTATAACAATGCATCATTGGGCACAGTTTCAAAATAGATTTAAAGTCAGACACTGATTAAATGAAGGCAACTAAAATGTTATGAATGGTTTTAACAGATCATTAGTACAAAAATGTTTTCCTCCAAAGCAAGCTTATACATGTTAACTATTTTGTTGACTGTTAATGTTTCTGTAACATGTACTAATCCTTGGAACAAAGAATTGAGACAAGTATCAATGGCTTTTAAAAATGGGTTCCCCTTGACAAAGGTTTAGCTACCAACCACACTACCGCTTTTCATCGCCTGCTGCTGTTTAAAATATGTTGGAAAAAAGACTACTTTTTTAAAATATGTTTTTATTGTGTGAGAAACAGAGGAAGATGTATAAAACACATTTACTGTAAATGCCATAAACAACAAACTTTACAAATAATAATAATACAAAGTGCCATTTATGCTAATTTAAAAAAATATATTCGTATATATATCTAAATAGATCTATTTTTTCTCTCACTTTTTTTCTTTATTTTAACTTGATGCTCATTTACTAAATGAAGAGCGTTGCCACTATACTAATATATTTTTATTATTATTATTATTTATAAAACGCCAACAAGTTCCGTAGCGCTGTACAATCGGTGGACTAACAGAAAAGTATTTGTAACCAGACGAGTCAGACACACAGAAACAGAGGGATTGAGGGCCCTGCTCAATGAGCTTACATGCTAGAGGGAGTGGGGTATAGTGACAAAAAAAAAAGCTATGGGTAGGGTAGAAAAGTAAGTTGCTAGGTTAGTGTTCATTGAGGGCTTAGTGTTTTGTTTTGATGACAGTTTCAGGAGAGGAATAAGGGTGCAGGGAGGGAAAGCTGTTCACAGTTTAATTGATATGCTTTCCTAAAGAAGTAAGTTTTAAAAGATTTTTTGAAGGAGTGGAGATTGGGTGAAAGTCTAACAGAGAGGGGAAAGGGTGTTCCATAGGAACTGTGCAGCCCCAGAGAAGTCTTTAAGGTGAGCATCAGAGGTATGAGTACGAACAGAGGTTTTACGTAGGTCTCCGGCAGAACGTAGGGGCCTAGATTGGACATATTTGTGTATTAGTGATGATAAGTAGGTCGGAGCAGCATTGTGTAGAGATTTGTAAGCAAGTATCAGGATCTTAAATTGAGTCCTATATCTTACAGGAAGCCAATGTAGGGACTGACAAAGGGGGGAGGTGTGGGAGGTGCGAGTGGACAGGAAGATGAGCCTCGCTGCCACATTCATTATAGTCTGTAACGGGACAAATTGGGAACAAGTAAGACCACTGAGAAGTGGATTACAGTAGTCAAGGCGAATGAGGACAGCGGCATGGACAAGCACCTTTGCAGTATCAAGCATTAAATAGGGTCAGATGTGCGCAATATTTTAGAGATGGAAGCAGCAGGATTTGGAGATTGATTGGACATGATGGGTGAAGGAGAAGTTGGTGTCAAAGAGAACACCTAGGCAGCAAGCCTTAGAGGCAGAGCATTGGTAGCGCCATTGACTTGGAAAGTGACACAGACAAGGGAGTAGCAACACTTGAGGGAGGGAAGACCAGAAGTTCTGTTTTGCACAGATTCAGTTTAAGGAAACAAGCAGCCATCCAGTTGGAAATAGCAGAGAGGCAGTCAGAGACACGAGTCAAGAGGGGTGATGAGAAATCAGGGGAGGACAGTTGAATTTGCATGTCATCCGCATAGAAATGATACTAGAAGTTTACCAGTGTAGGTTAAGAACAATAGGGGACCAAGGACAGACTCTTGAGGAACACCAACAGAGAGGGATTGAGGAGAAGAGGCAGAGCCAGAGAAAGAAACACTGAATGAGCACTGGGAGAGGTAGGAAGAGCACCAGGAGAGAGCAGAATCTCGCAGACCAAGATTACAGAGAATGAGAAGAAGCTGTTGATGATCAACAGTGTCAAACGCAGCAGAAAGGTTGAGGAGAATTAGGATAAAGTAATGACCATAGGATTTAGTGGTGAGAAGATC